TGCGTGTACATTGTACCTTGTATGGAACAGAGAGACTGACACACCTTTCAGTATAAAAATCATGACAGTTACCAAATGCAGAGGTGTCTAAAAAGTGTAACGTGTGTAACATGGAATTGCCCATTTTCATTATTATAGCATTGATGCTTCCAATCCTGATTCCGGAATCATCAGATATGCAAACGACGAGTGGATCCACCCCAATTGCAAAATGGAATGGCTAATGGTCGCCAAAAAAACGCATTTGTTTCTAAAAGCAATTCAGGATATCCCAGCCAACCAGGAATTGCGTTACGATTACAAAGTGGTTACTGATGCAGAATGGAAATTCCACAAACATGATCCGCTGCTCTTGTATGATCTTCCTGGCTGAGTCCCATTCTATGATTGTTTAAAGTTTTTAACTATGCACTCAAATTTGATTATGCCTGAAGCTAAGACTAAGTGAACTGATTTGTGTGTATATATTCTGTTGCTTGTATACAAAGCACATCAATGCACATGTGCTTTCTATTTTGGACATGGTTGAAATTGAAGGCCCTAACAGTTACTCTCTCACACATCTTGGTTCTAACTTTGCTTCTATGACTTGTAATCTTGCTTATAAGGCTGTGCCATGTGATATAAATATCTACTTTTGGCAGCACAAATACCTACTCAATAATGAATTATAGCCGATTTAATAATAATAATAATAATATTCAATTTTTATATAGCACTTAATACAAATGTCTGTAAGCGCTTTACAAATATACTATTACCCCTGTCATTGGATTCAGTGCTTGCCCGCACACACTGTGTGCACAATCTCCACTCCCTGGGGAGCATTCCAGCCGGGCGTTACTTGACGCTCACAAGCTGTTTGACCAACAATGACGGCCGTATCCTACCGGGTACCCATTTGACACCTGGGTGGAGAGTAGCAAGTGCAGGTTAATATCTTGCCAAGGATTTGATATTTGATTCTAATTTCATAACATATTACTTTTTTTAACTTCAGGAATTGGGGTACTCAGGGGAGGATTTGCCCTAGAGAAAATGGTAGAGGGTTCAAATCTGAAACACCCAGAAAGAATCCGGGCAGGCAACTCCCGAAAATACATGGCAACGATGATTCAGGTAGGTTTTATGAGGGAACTATGATAATTTTACTATGTGAGACATTACTCAACTCTAATCCCAGGAGGGAGGGGTTGGGGGGGGGGGGGGGGGGGGCTTTCCATTCGTCAAAGCCTGGTTACAAATATGAAGGATCCTGTTAACCGCAGTCTTATCTCCTGCCTTTAACATCTCGGCTGTTATGCCGGCAATACCAGGTGCCTTATTGTTCTTCATTCTTTTACTAGCATACCTCACTTCTGCTGGAGTAAATGGCTGTGTTGCAATTGGAAGAACATCGGATGGCTCGTCGGGTTGAGCAGGATTACCTGGTTGGGGCCTATTGAGTATTTCCTTGAATTGCTCAGCCGATCTAGCTAGCTTTTCTTCACCAAATGTACTTCTGGTTCATACAAATAACCCTGTTATGTCATACATGCACTCCTCAACCCACAATGTACGTCTGGTTCATACAAGTAACCCACAATGTCTACACGCACCCCACAATGTCTACATGTGCTAATATAAAACCATAGGCTACAGTAATTGCACATCACACAATTGCCAAACAAAAGATTGGCAAGAAGAACCTCTTGCCAATGGCAGAAGATGTAATAAAACGAACAAACTGAATACAATCTGAATATTAAATGCCTTACCACCTGTATGGATGCGTTGATGCGTCAGTGAGATTACATGTACATGCATCACTAAATGCTTTGCCACAAATGAATAAATGAAGTGGAAGATTTGGGGAATACATGTGGCCTCCCAATGTGAAAAGTGTAACCTAATATTAAACCGCCTTGTCTCACTTACAGGTTATTTTGAAGGGTGGGGAGGAAGCCCCAAATATTTATGAGGGACTCAAGACATCAAATTTGGCTGTTAAAAGGTCCTGGCTGTCAGAGGTGTTGTCTAAATGCCAGGGGAAGGAGCCACGCTACACCTTTAAGAAGATAATGTCTGCTTATAATGCTTATAACTCATCAAATTAAGGCAGGAGAGGATACAAGAGGCATCCTTTATTCTGCAAGATTTGTTACAAGCTCCTCGACTGCTTTTTTAAAATATAATTAGTTTCTGATCTGTATTAAAATGAAGAAGTCATGGAGAGTCATTCTCAGGAAAATTTGATAGGGAGTGACTGAGCAGTAACAAGATTAGTCACGGATGTCGGGATTGTGAGTAGAATTAGTGTTTCAATCAAGGACTGAGAAGCAAGTGTCATTGTAAACAATGATAATCTTTAGGGATAATTTATTTGTAATTTCGTTTTCATTTTCAATATAGGGTTTGGCATCAACAAACTCAACTTCATACTGTTAGCATTTCACTCAACATCGACCCGGTTGATGAGTAACCAAGTGATATCGGAGGATACGCTAGCCGGAAAGCTAACACAATTAACCAATCATAAAAGCTAGTTCGAGATCTTTAACATTAGGAGTAGTATGTCTAGGCAAAAACGTGATAAGGATTTACAAACATCGGTCAATAACTACGAAATAGGTGACATAGTCTACTGTCTAGACTCGCACGCTGAATTGGCCCTGGTGTAATAACTAAGAAGCAAAGTGAATTGATAATCGAAATTTGCAATAACCCGAGAGGAAACACAATAGGACGACAAGCTAATATGTCACCCAACTTTGGCACTCTATTTGAGAAACATTTGCATTTGTCTTTATTTAAACATGCATTGAAGGTAAGATATCTTAACATCTAGTTTTTGCACCTCGCTTTCACTCTCAAATGTAGGGTTGGTTATACAACATCAAACGAAGAGAGAAGGATGGGCCTAAAAGAGGGCAAGGGCAAGAAAAATGTCTGCTTATAATGCTTTCATGTCGGAGTATATGTCTTTGCATGGTGAGAAATTCTATCAAGTCAATGTGTGCATATTGTTAAGAGAGGAAATCCACCCTTATCATTGGCAGGCATTTCATTAAAGTAGTAGAACAACAAAGGAGAAACAAATGAGTAAAAGTTTTAGTGTAAACCAATGAAAAGTAGGACTCAAACCCTGGGCCCATGATCTATCTCAACATGCACGCAATGTGTTTGCTACTAAGAATTGTTGAGCGGCGGGAATACAGACAAACCCGAAAGATGGCGTCCAACTGAGGAGGAGCGGCCGAATGCAAAGACCGCCCGCCAGGTATAATTTGTAAACAACAGATCCATGCCAATAACTTAAATATTATCACTTTTGCTCTACCTTTCAACAAGACGAGATGCCTGCCATTCACTCCCGATTGTATTTCTACTTAAACAATGGCTTACCACTCTCCACATCTGGCAATAGGCATGCATGGATATAGGAATGGATAGCGTGTTCACATCTCCACCGACCCCCATGGTCGATGAGAGGGCCTACTCTCCTGTATCGACGGCGGGTGATGAGGTCATCCACAAATTGCCGAATGATGAAATAAAGACGGCTAGCCATGGGTTCGTCTTCACCCACACGCCGCTACCAAGGGACAACACGCCAGACTCGGCGGGGAGGAAGCGCCCGTTGGAGGAGCCCCGAACTAGCAGTAGTGATGTCAACAGGGTCCTGGACGCCAAGGCAGCCATGGAAAGGAGATTCTCCACCGAGGTGAGCTCGCTGCGGGAGGAGATGAAGTCACTCCAACAACCGGTAGGGCAACTTTGCAACCAGGCCGAGCAGAATAGCGGCGAAGCTCGTATATTTACGGAACACGTACAACTGGATATTGTAAAAGGTGTGAACCACTTGTCAGGACTCATCAAATTAAGCCAGTAGAGGATACAAGAGGCATCCTTTATCCTGCAAGATTTGTTATGAGCTCCTCGACTGCTTCAAATATAATAAGCCTCTGATCTGTATGCAAATGAAGAAGCCATGGAGAGTCACTCTCAGGAAAATATGACGGGAGTGACTGAGCAGTAACAAGATTTGTCACGGATGTCGGGATTGTGAGTAGAATTAGTGTTTCAATCGGAGCTGCAAAAGTGCAGGATGACGAGTCAATGATTTAAAAGGGAAATCAAGTACCTTTTATGTGTTTTTACCGTCGCTGCATTGGGTATCAGTCTCAGAAGGGGAGCACAGCTATAGCAATGAGAGGTCACAGTGCGTGGCCATTTATATGATAAAGAAACAGCCAAATAGTTCACAAAGGGTCACACCACAATGCTGCAGACTCTATACATAGTAAAATTGCGCAGAGACTCAGCAAGAAAGGCGACAACTATGACTACAAAAAACTTTCATGACACTATTAGGAGCCCACGAAAGAGACTAGAAGTTGGGGCGGGGGTAGTGGGTTTTAAGAGTAGAGCGGCACAATGTGTGAAGAGGACCACCATCTAGATGGTTGGTTCCACAAACTTCTCGAGCCTGTCTGATAGCGACCTAGTCACAAACATCTCTTTCAGAGATGCATCCCAGAACCAGAACCATAAAAAGATCTTTCACACTCTCTACTGTAAATGGTGTTCTAAACACCCAAGAGGCCCATGTTTTCATGCAGCTCTATAGACATAGGATACTTTGTCAAAATGGAAATTGAGATATCAGGGACGTTCACTTGCTGACATCTGTAATAGTAAGTGTCACTCTCCACTATGAGAAGACAATCAATACGTATCTGATCACCCATCCCACATTGCACAATCTTGTTTGAGAACCAGATATGTCTCACAAAGGGAAAAGCCTTGGTAATGTTTATTGAATGACTTTTAACTGTAGTACGTTTCAGATGAGCTTAAAATTCATAGAATTTGCACAACATCCATACTCTGCTTCAGTTAACAGCTCAGGAACAGATCTGAAACAAATCTGTTTGGAAAATAAAAGGGATTTGGCACTCTCAGCTCAGCATTTCTTCATAACCTGCCACAGATAACGGACATGACCTTTAACCTCCTACCTGGTAGATGTCCAGTGACCCCTGGATGACCTTCTCGAGGGGGAAGTACTCCTTGAGCTTGTTGTGGTCCACAGAGTAGCGCTTCTCTTCGGACATGTTCATGAAGTAGCGCATATCCCACAGGTTGATCTTCTTGTCATTCTCGTACCCGTATTTCTTGCACTAGTTGGAAGGGGAAAAAAAGATGTCAGCAAGTATACAAGATTTTGGATTCCAACTACATGTAGAAGACATAGTGATCTTCTGTTATCTTTGCATTTCCTTGTCCCCAACCTGCCTTGGCCCAATTTCTCCACACCCATATGTTCTCTATGATCCTTGGTTCCTTTCTTCACCTGTTCCTACACTATCTTGCCCTGTCCAGCGTTCTCCGATCTGTAAGTTACCCGCACCTATCATTCCCTGTCAAGATATGTACACCCAGCGTTCTCCTATCTGTAAGTTACCCGCACCTATCATTCCCTGTCAAGATATGTACACCCAGCGTTCTCCGATCTGTAAGTTACCCGCACCTATCATTCCCTGTCAAGATATGTACACCCAGCGTTCTCCGATCTGTAAGTTACCCGCACCTATCATTCCCTGTCAAGATATGTACACCCAGCGTTCTCCTATCTGTAAGTTACCCACACCTATCTCTAGCTCTCTGCACTCTTCTCAAACGCGACAACTTCCCCCTGCCTCCCCCCCTACACACAGGTGTAATCATATATCAGCTGGTGGTAAAAGGGTGTTGTGAACCTACAATACCGCCCAGAAGTTATTGGGCATGCGGGATCGTGAAACACGATAAGAGGTTAGCGTGATTGTAGATGGGTTTTATCGTGTTTTTATCGTGAGAAACATCGTGATTTGTATTCATCTCTATCATGATTTTTTTCCTCAACTTGATCAACTCGCTAAATCCCCGATGCATATCGTGATATTTCCTTTTAGTTTGTTATTATCACGATAGAACTGCGCACAGCATGCTGTATTTATACGCTTGCTGAGAAACTGCCGTTGCGCGATACGCCTGCTTCCTTGAATGGCCTGCGCATCCTCAAACATACCGATGCGCGCTTGCCACTGACGTCACAATCACTTGATTATTACATCACAAAAGCGTGAATGAATGCTTTTTTCATTCCATGCATAAATACACGAGACAATGTGCTACGGGAATGTTTGGGATTGAGCATGCGGAGAGAAAAGTTATCCGATGAGAGAAGTGCAGAAACCAAGAACCAGGTGTCTTGGCCTTCACCACGATACGAATCTTTTTTTATTTGAGGGGGGGGGGAGGAATGTTTGGGATAGCTCATGGCAGAGGAGATCCGAGAGTTTATCAAGAGTTAGACCGAAAGCTTCAGTCTCTAATCTCGACGGCTATTCCGCTTATGTTTAATCCGAGAAAGACTTGTCGTTAACATTATTTGTTGTGCAGCCATCTTGATTTGAGTTAATGAATGCTCATTTTTTTTCCCGGACGTCCGATACCTACATGTACGTACGAGTCAGCACGGCTTGACCCGGTGATATTTTGATATTCATAAACGCGTGATCTAATTCGCCTAAATTTCGCCATTGCAATTACTTGATTAAAATTTTAAGAATTTTAAGAAATATACATACTTTCTTATGTCCGATTTATTGATCGGAAAATTAGATCTAAATAAGGAAAAACGGGAAGAAAAGAAAGGCTCATTCCCCCCCCCCCCCCCCCTTGCGCGCCGTAAGGCTCACCGTCTGTGTATGAGGAATGTTGACAAATGTAAGATTTATCAAAGAGTAATGACCCATATCAGATGGTTATTTCTGTCTAATCGAGAGTATTCATCATTACATGTACATATCAGATCTAATATGTGGGTAGAATCTTAGAATTTATGGATAAATGCGGCTGTTATTTCTAGAAAAAGTATGTGTATGTTGTGAGATTTTCAGGAAGGCATGAAGAATTAAGGGAAGAGGAGAGAAGAGGTGGAGGGGTACCGTTAGTGTGACAGGAGATAAAAGAAAGAGGGAAGGGAGTGAAGTGTGAAATATATCAGACAAATATAATTAAGAGAGATAGAGAATTGAAAATTAACAGAATAAATAAAGGATCCGTAACTCTAAATAAAAATAAATTTATTATTATTTTATTCATTCATAATACCAATCGGTTAATCCTGGCCCTACACATTACAAATTTTGCCACAGACCGCAAACGGCATTTTCATAAACCAGTATTATCAAAAACAAAAGCAACGCGATCTCGATCAGCCAATGTACCTCGTGGTCCACAAAGTAGTTGAAATTTGATATGTAGTGCGCGCGCTCAGGGATTCCCGGAATTCAGGTCATGTTATTTTGGAAAACCAAGCTAAATACATGTACACATACCTGGGTTGGCAAGCTCCCGTAATCAAAATTGGAGTAATACATAAGGAAATAACAAAGAAATACACGAGGATTGAGGACAAAATATAAAATGATAGAAAGAAATCTAAGAAAAACATAAAGTATTAAAACACATTTATGAAGGAATAAACCAGAAGAATGATTAATAATGATAATAATAATAATAATAAATAATAATGGCTTAACAAAGATCTATATATGGTAAAAAATAAGGATAAACAACAAAACAATGATTGATCAAATTGATAGCAAGAAAAACAAGGAATTAAACGAAGGGGGTGATTGTGCAAGGGGGTAATTCTCCTTGAACCGTAAGGAACAAGCGAAGCGAATACATACACATATTTATATTTCGAGAAAAGGTAAAACAAACAAATAAAAAACAGAAAAGATGATGAGGTAAAGATTTTTAAAAATGCACGCGCTTAGTTTTCTCTCGAAGGTTCAGTCATCACTTCTATGATCATGTGATCTTACGGCGCGAACATGATCTGTTTATACTAACTTCTGAGATAACCACATGTTGCCAGACACCTTGACTCCAAACCCATTCTTTAGAAACACTTGAAACATAATATGAAATGTACGCAAGCTCTCGTCATTTAAACATTCAATTCATTGGCGAAAATGGGATTTCCAATTGGTGAAGTTCTCTGCTTGTTTTGTGTGTCTATTTTATTTTCTTCTTCTTCCTTTGCTTCTCCCCTTCCCCTTTTTCTTCTCCTTCCTTTTCTACTCCCCCTTCTGCTTCTTCATCTTCTTCTTCCTTTTCTTCTCCCCTAATTCTTCTTTTTCTTCTCCTTCCTTTTCTTCTCTCCCCCCTCTGCTTCTTCATCTCCCCTTCTTTTTCTTTTCCTTCGTTTGCCCTTTGTTTAGAAACATGTGAAACACATTATGAAATGTACGCCTCTCATTCAATTCATTGGCGAAAAAAATTAGAATTTCCGATTGATGAAGTTCTCTGCTTGTTTCGTCTGTCTATTTTATTTTATTTTAGATTTACTCTTCTTCTTTTTCCGCTCCTTCCTTTTTTTCTCCCCCCCCCCCATCCCCTGCATCGCCAATGATACGAGATTGCTTTTAAAATTATCATTTATTTTATATCCGATTGCGAAGCAGCAAACCATAAATGAATTGAATGCAACATCAGGCAAATTAATTGTAAATATTATTAGTGCGAATAAACGTTGGAGGGACTAGAACAGGAGGTATTATTGTAAAAATGTCCACAAAAATAAAACACAACTTCGCGAATGATAGTGATACGGGTCTGCTTTTAAAAATAAAATCTATATCATATTCTAATGCGAAGCAGCAAACCATGAATGAATCTATAAGGTTGAAAGGTTTGTTTTAATTCTTAATCTTAAATTGACTATCTCTTAACAAATAATTGCGAATGTTAATCAAAGCCAAAGGCTGGACATACGAGAACATAATGAAATTCATCATCTTGTACTTCAAGATCACATAAGGAACACAATTCTACAATTTCTAGAGGCTGACTTTAGTGACGGTCAGATGCAGACGGCAGGGCAGCTTACTATTACCACATCGATATTTACAAAGAGATATTCTATCAGTGAAATCCAACTTTAACATATATTCTTCCAAATCGATTGCCTGTTTAAAATTCTGTAATTGAAACATGAACGATATACATGTTTATATACCTCACTTAAGTAATCCAGCAATCTGATTGGTCGAAATTGCATTCATAAACTTTAACTGTTCCCGAAAATTCCCGGTAACCATGGTTAAAAAACAGTTCAAAATCCCAATAACCATGGTTATTGGGAAAATAGGTCAGTCTCCATGGTTACCCCATAGGTTTACATGTTAAAAAATGGTCTGAGCGATCGAGGATACCGTACGTGTGCGAAGAATTGGTCGGTAATTTCAAAACAATTGAATCTCGATCGATCTTACCGACAATTTTATCTTGCATTGTTGACATGAAGACGAAAATAAACTTCCAAAAACAAAAAACAACATCTGCCGATAGATCTTGATCTAAGTTCGTGCCAATATGCATTGCAAAAGTAAAAGAAGGGCCCGTTTAATGGAGCAGCGGCGAAGCATCGACCACGCGAAGCCGTTTTCAATTCATTTTAATGTATATATTAAAAAAACCCACTGTACGTGGTGACAGAGCACGCTGGCCGAGCGGTGTAAGGCGCTGATTGCAGATACCTCACCTTTTCTTCTTTTTTTTTTTTTTTTTTTTTTTGGCATATAAAAGTATTAATGACTGCTTTAATATTCGAGAAATAGTTGTTTTTATACGCTCTCGGGAAGGTTACAATTGGGCTATTCCCCTCGGCACGCCTCGGGTAATAGCACAATTCTAACTTTCCCTTGAGCGTATAAAAACAACTATTTCTCTCACAGCAGTCATTAACGACACATATGGAACTGCGCGTACAAATTATACTTATCAAGACTAGGCGCGCAGTGAGCAAGACATGCGCTTGCAGAGGACATGACTACATGTAGTTGCAGACACGCGCACCGTGAAACATGATAGACTATCGGGGATAAGGCGGGTTACACGCATCCCCCAATAGAGGAAATCATTCACTAGTGTGCAAATTATCGTGATTTTTATCGTGATTCTTTCAGTATTTCATCGATATTTTATCTATATTTTATTGTGAAATACCCATCGGGAAACCTGCCCCGCAAAACATGCCGAATAACTTCTGGGCGGTATTGTACATCACACAGCTCTCTGCACTCTTCTCAAACATGACAACCTCCCCCTGCCTCCCCCCCCCCCCCCCCCTCCCCCTATACAGAGGTGTCATCATATATCAGCTGGTGGTAAAAGGGTGTTGTGAACTCACATCACACGGCTCTCTGCACTCTTCTCAAACATGACAACCTCCCCCTGCCTCCCCCCCCCCCTACACACAGATGTAATCATATTTCATCTGGTGGTAAAAGGGGGTTGTGAACCCCATCACAAAGCTCTCAGCACTCTTCTCAAAGATGACAAACCCACCCCCCTCCCCTACACACAGGTGTAAATATATTTCAGCTGGTGGTTAAAGGGTGTTGTGAACCCACATCACACAGCTATCTGCACTCTTTTCAATGTGACAACCTCCCTCTGCCTACCACCCCCCCCCTCTCTACACACAGATGTAAATATATTTCAGCTGGTGGTTAAAGGTGTTGTGAACCCACATCACACAGCTCTCTGCACTCTTCTCAAACATGACCCCCCCCCCTACACACAGGTGTAATCTT